CTCAAAATCAATAGGGTTCTTCTGTAGGCCATAGGGAGTTGCTATGCAAAATTTCATTGCGAAAGCTCAAAGGGTTCTCGAGATATCGCGCGGTAACGAAAGCATTAGAGACAGACAGAAATACAGACAGACGGACAGACAGACCCAAATTAATAGCCCCCACCTTCAGTGAAAGCGGGGGACAACAAAACAATTACTATGAACAAAAATACTTTATATTGTCAATAAGAAGCCCTCACTGCTTCTCACATTATTTGACATTTGACTGAAAAACAAGAGATCTAATAATATTTCATGAATTAAGTCAATTCAGACTGTTTCACACCGTGATTGAACAATTATCGCAAAGTAGTTGTTCTTTAATATTTGTTCACACTTAGAGAAAATCATTTGTCCGTGATTTTGTGATATTTCTTGCTAACATATTTTTTTCTTCTGATAACAGTTTTGTACGTACATCTTAATAAAATAGCTCTCAAAATACATCAGGTAACGACATAGCACTGGGAATTGCTCCTAAACATTACTCACACACTATTTCTAATTCATTTCATCATCCATTGACATATTATAAACAGACTCAATGTGAGTTCAGATCCTACATTTCCATTACTTTCAAAGTCTTTCTTAGCCATTAGTCTTCGAGATAATTATTTATTGCGTTTTATGATTACTGCACAAAGAGACAATTTAAATTATCTTGTTTGTGTAGAAAGATTTTTAAAGCAACAAGAAAGATCCTTACGCAAACCAAAGAAAAATTCCTTCTAAAATTATATCAATTAATCATCCTTGAAGTTGGCGAGAGAACCTTATACAAATGACATATTTTTATTGCATTCGTATAAAACTAGACAAAATGATTTGTGTCCAAATGTACCACACTGACTAGCTGTTTGTGTTTTCCTCTTCATGTTTGTCGTACATGTACATGTATCTATGAACGTCTTCAAAAGATAAATGTAGGTGAATTTAAATAGAAAAGCATGATTTTATTTGTCTGAAAGAAAAGTCAGGTGTCATTGTTTTGTAGGTGACCCCACCCTCTATTTGCAATCTAATCTAAGAAAACTTAAATTTTTTTTATACAAATATAAATTTCAAAATATAAATCTTGCTGATTGGAGGGCCTAAACTGATATGTTAATGATTTATTAGAAGTTATTCCTTACTAATGGTACGATATGCCGGAAATGCTGAAGTGATTACGAAAATATCCCGAGTTTGTATGATATCTGGGGAGATTAACGGTCATGCAGGCGTTTTACTGCAGGCTTCTACACGCAAGGCGTTATTTTTCTCTACATTGAGGGCTTGGTGTAAAATGCAGAGGATGGAGGCTCCAAAATGGAGTGTCACAGAGAACAAGGGTTGGAGCCTCTTATATATGTCAATTTTAACACATTTGCTTATTTTGTCTTTCATTCAGTTTGGGACCCTAAACCCTATTTAAATCTGTCATGACTTCATGGGTTACCGTGAGATAGCAGCGCGGGACATAATCTTATTAATGTTTAGATATTTCCCTTGCGCTCAGCAACTGTTATTTAACAAAATTTAAATCGAAAACACAAGCTGTATGTCCCCTTTTGATTTTGATATCTAAAAGTCATTTTTTTAAATACTCATTTTATTCTTTCTCAATTGTTTCTCATACTTTAAGAGAAGAAATTGACAACAATGCACTAAAGGATAATTTTTATGCTGTTTCTGTTTCATTCAATCACTGTTATCTTAAAAATTTAAATCAAAAGCAAAGCTTCCCCTTGTTGACATATGAAGACCATAAATTGTTTCACTGTTTCCTAGCTGTTTCTCATTAATAACATACTTCATAAGATATTGTCAAATGGTCTACATAAAAATGAGTTTCGGCATTAAATAGATTCATTCAGTCAATTTCAATTAAGAATTGTTTCTTCTTTAAATTGTTTGGATAATGTGACATTCTAACAAATTTTCACGGAAAATTAGAAATTGAGTTGACAGATCTAATAAGCAAGTGCAAAAATTGCAAAAAGATGCTCCACACCTTGCATCATCTGACTCAACACGGTCCAGCCCTTGCGCTTTCTGACACTCCATTTTGGAGCCTCAGTCCTCCACATTTTACACCAAGCCTAGATTGAGTCCCTATCAGTAACTTTTTTATCTTCTGAGTTATCAAATTAAAATATAAAGCGGGAATAGTTTCAGTAATGTGTTGTATTTGAATATATAAGAGGATTAAAGACAATATTCAAGTCACGCACAAACCTTAACTTGTCCAATATATTATCACGAAACTTTTATCAATAATCTAATTAATAAAAAAAAAAAACCACAATTGACAAAAAATCACTTCCCTGATTAGATGGGAATTACTTCCTAAACTATGAACACTAGATTTATGTCTACATGTATCACTGTGGTAAGTAAAGTAAAACACGTACTTACTCTCATTTCAACTCTAAGACTATTTCACTTGAAGAGTTCTGAAAAGCAGTCAACTTAACTTTCTGATTAAAATCAATACTTTATATCGTTTGATCATCAGTATGTCACTTCTAATCTTCACTGTGTACTTGCAAAGTACGAATAGGACTCGGAAAATAGGTAATGTCTCGGGTACAGTAAGCTCATTTTTGTTATCAGAGTCAGCTGAGAGGTATAATTATGATATCCATAATCCAGATTTGATTTTTTATGTTTTTTTAAAAATACCCTTAATACAGGTAGTAGTCTTAATTATTGTTCATTTCTCATACTCTTGGATTTTGGCGGAAAGCTGAATGTTCGCTATAATCATGCAGTTTGGTTGCTAAATAATTAAATGCTTAAAAATCGTTTGAAGATTTTTTTTCAGAAATACCTACTCCCCCTGCTTTCTCCTCTATTCTCCTTTTTCTTCCCCCTCCCTTGCTTGCCATTCCATTTCACTCCCCCTCCTTTGCCTATTATCCTATTTCACTTCCCTCCTTTGCCTGTAATCCCATTTCAATCCCCCTCCCTTGCTTAAGCTTTTTATCCCATTTCACTTCTCTCCTTTGCCTGTTATCCCATTTCACTCCCCCTCCCTTGCTTAAGCTTGTTATCCTATTTCACTTTCCCTCCTTTGCCTGTTATCCCATTTCACTTTCCATCCTTTGCCTGCTATCCCATTTCACTCTCCCTCCCTTGTTTGTTAACCCATTTCACCTTCATTACCCTTCCCTGTTATCCCATATAACCCTTCCTCCCTTGCCTGCTATCCAATTTCACTTCCCCTCCCTTGCTTGCTATCCCATATCACTTCCCCTCCCTTGCCTGTTATTCCATTTCACTCCCCTTCCATGCTTGTTATTCCATTTCACTCTCCCTCCGTTGCCTATTATCCCATTTCACTTTCCCTCCCTTGCTTGCTATCCAATTTCATTTCCCCTCCCTTCCCTGTTATCCATTTTCACTTTCCCTTTTTTGACTGTTATCCCATTTCACTTCCCTCCTTTGCCTGTTAACCCATTTCAATCCACCTCCCTTGCTCGTTATCCCATTTCATTTTCCGTCTCTTGCCTGTTATCCAATTTCATCCCCCCCCCCCCATTGCTTGCTATCCAATTCTACTTCCCTCCTTTGCCTGTTCTCTCATTTCACTCCCCCTCTGTTACCTGTTATACCAGTTCACTCACCTCTTCCTTGCCTGCAATCCCATTTCACTTCCCCTCCCTTGCTTGCTATCCAATTTCACTTCCCCTCCCTTGCCTGTATCCCATTTCACTTTCCCTCCCTTGTTTGCTTTCCAATTTCACTTCCCCTCCCTTGCCTGTTATCCCATTTCACTTTCTCTCCCTTGCCTGTTATCCCATTTCATTTTCCTTCCCTTGCCTTTATTCCCATTTCACTTCCCCTCTCTTGCTTGCTATCCCATTTTACTATTCTCTCACCGTTCACGGTAGCTCAGCCGGTAGAGCGCTCGCTCCGTGATCGGGAGGTCGTGAGTTCGAATCTCGGCCGCGACTGACCTAAGTCGATTAAAAATAGGTAGCAACTGTTCCTTCGCCATGCGCTCAGCACTTCGAAGAGAAAGTTGCGGGTCCTTCGGATGAGACCTTAAAAACTGAGGCCCCGTGTCACGGCAGGCGTTGGCACGATAAAGAACCCTAACTGCTCAATGGCCCTGAGTGCCGAGTAAAGGTAAAAATGTGAAACCCTTCACCGGTATATGATGACGTCTCTATATGAGTGAAAAATTCTCGAATGGGACGTAAAACAACAATCAATCAATCAATCAATCAATCACTATCCTCCCCCTCCCTTACCTGTCATCCCATTTCACTCCCCCATGTCTGTTAATCCATTTCACTCCCACTCCCTTAGCAACACCTCCCTCTTATCTCCTCCTTCCGGTTTGTTACTTCCACAAAGCTATCGGCTGATAATGTGAAGAAAGTACATATATAAAACAATATTTTTATGCTTTGTGCATGAAATAGTGCTGAAGATTACCAAAAACAAAAAAAAACAAAAAACAAAAAACAAAACAACAACAACAAAATACATGCAGTCTTTCAGTCAATACGAATTTGTAGCAAAAGCATACCTATTAATAATTTTTATTTGCAGAAAAGAAATTTTGAAAATATCACATAAATAAAAATCATCTTGTTATCTCAAATCAACACATCTCTTGGTTCCAAAATTCTTAAAAGAGTACAAACAATTTCAATTTATAGGTCATGAGACACGATATTATTCATATATCTGGCAAATCTCGTCTGAAATCAGCAGCATTTCCCAGGACGTCCAATGTACTTTCTCTGAATGAAATATTTTCTATTTTTGTTTTAGAAGAAATTTATCACAAGCCTCTATCTCGGCGATAAGGCAAAGCACTTATATTCTAGTCGCTGTACTAGTGAAGTCGTATGTTTTACACATCGTCACTACAAAACTGATGACAACTTATGTCTGTCAAAATTCTGCTTTTCATCACTAGATTTGATTCATATCTAGTTGGTTTATGTATCTCTGTTTCCTTTAAGGCATAGAAGTCGATCCTAGAGTGATTTCGCAGACGGCGACTCCCGGAACTTACCGTAGAAAAATTTTCCAACAATGCCAGGGGTTGGTCTGATTCAAGTTTTACTAACAGTGCTGGTGAGTAAAGTTCTGTTATAATCGAAAATAATCTATCTTAAGTCATTAAAGCATACTGCCATCTTTGCAAATTTAAGTAAAATAAACTAATGCTAGCATTTTCTTCTGCATATTTTTTGTTAACTTTAACTTTAATAAGGAGTTAACTGTAAAGATCTGAAATTTAAACTTATGATATCTACAGAATGATGTCTTGTTTTGTATTGAATAAGAATTCAAGATGCCTTTGTACTGTCTGAGGTACCACATGAACTCATAAGAGTGTATGGTGTTCTTGCAGTTTCACGTACAATCATATAAACAGACAAAAACTGTATAAATCAGATATCAAACATCAACTGCAAATGTACACCATGAACATCTGTAATGTTAGTGAGAAGTAGGTAGTATATAGGAATACATGTCTTATTTCCTATACTATAAAATTAAGCTTTGATTTCTTGCAAAATAAATTCTGGAGAAACATTATAACAACTCATTTGAATCCTTTTTGCGTTGTGTAATTCCGACGATTTTTTCATTCATTCCTCTCTGATTTAGTTTTCATATTTTATTTAAAAGCATGATTGGATTACACTCTTACAATTTTAGGCGAGATTCAATTTGCTAGTAAAGAAAAAAAATCAAATGAATATCCCGTAGAGAGTTATCGTCACCACCTATTGTTTTAACAAAATCAGCAAACTGATAATATTTCTACAGAAAAAAAACAGCACTGAGCGGTTTAAATTGATTTAGATGGACTGTAAAGTTTGATGCAATGTTTTTTTTTTCAATTTTGAAATAATGCCGAAGTGATATTAAATTTGAATAACCAGATTAGGCACCAATTATTCGTCAGATATCTTCAGAAATGGGTCATTATTTTCCTGTTTGTTTGAAAAAATAATCTGATTATGTCTTCATTTCTGGTTTGAAGAAAATTTATTTATTATCAATTTAAAACATACACACACCAAATAGAAATAAAAGTAATATAGATAAAAGTGATACTTAAAAGGAAATAAAATAAAATAATATGTCATGTAATCGTAATAATTTTGTTTTATATTATATTTTACTGTGATTTGTATTCTAAAATTTATTAAACAGGAAAAGAAACATAGTGATCTCAGCATGCATGCGATTTCCCTCTCATTTCCTTTGGAATGGCGAAATTGCATTTCAATCATCTACAATCGTTCAACTTTATCATTGTTGATAAATTCTTTTTTTCTTTTTCGCTGACATTCATCAACACCTGTGTATCATACATAACCAAGTAAACGGAGTGAAGCACATAATGTTGAACATCTTCGACTTAATTATTACACTCGTTATCAAGTAGAGATAATGAGAACTAAAGAGTGCCCTCTGTTAGCTGTTGTAATTTTTTTCTGATCTTGCTCTTTGAACTCTCTAGCATCTTTCTTGTATTGTCAGGCATCCTTTTCTTTCCATTAACATTAATCTTGATGTGTCTGTTGTAGACCAAACCGAAAAATTCAAATCAGGCAATATACATAGCTGGAAAAGTCTGTCTCCATTCAGTGATATGGAAGACCTCTAATTAATTTTTCATGAACATACATGTAGCAGAAATCAGTTTTTAATAAATGTTGAGAAGACAGATGCATCTTTTCTGCCGGGGAGACCTGTCACTTGTTTACGATAAAAAGGCAAATAAACGCCAGATCTTTTGCATGTCAAGCATACTTTCCAAGAACACCCACGATATATATAAATCTTAAGCACCATGTTAAATCTTTGTATGTAGGGTTCAATCAAATGTTAAATGTTAACGGGATCCATTTTCTGACTTTTCCAACTAGATAGTTATGATATTAATATACCCCCCCCCCCCCTCAATAGGATTGAATTCTGTAAACTTGTTTGACACAAAATACCACAATGGTAGCATCCTACGTTGTTCTGTTATAAATGAAATATTTGGAATTTCCTTTTCGTGTGATTAGAATATACAATATTCCCGCAATCCTCCTACCTAAATCGCTGTAAATACGAAATTAGATACACATAGGAAAACAACTTTGTAACCATGTGCATCACCAGACCGTCTTTATTGGCTTTTTACGGCAAATAAAGCTCTTTTGATAACGAAACTGTTTGTCGAGATATCTCATTTGATCCCTAAATCTACCTCTGCTTCCTGGGTTTCTATTTCTGCTGAACAATTAATGGCTTTGAAGAGAAAAATCAACACAGAAACTATGGAAAAGAACTTAGCCGGAAGTGGATTAACATATCACCGTCTAAGCTTCTTACCCTAACAGTTGAGCAGGAGAACGGGGGAATTAAATAAAAAAAAAAGTTATTTACAATACAATGATGCTTGTTAATATTCCTTTTCACCAATCATCTCTCTCTTTCTCTCTTTCTTTCTTTCTTTCATTGAAACAGACTGCAGGAAAGAGAAATCCGTAATAAATGATACCTTTTCAAACTTTAAATTGATATTCAACTTTCACATTTTTTAAGGTATGAATAAAAAGATTTTTTTAAAAAAATAACTATAACTATTAAAAAGATATGTCCAAGTGTATGAAATATTCCATAAAAACGTACTGAATAGCTTAGTAACTGGATGCATATAGGTATACATTCAAAATAAAATAGAAAACTTAACCGATGCAGCGTTGGTTAGGTACACATTCAAAATAGGGAACTAACCAATGCAATGGTGGATAGGTACACATAAAAAATAGAAAACTTAACCAATTCATTGTTGGTTGGGTACACATTCAAACTAGGGATCTAACCAATGCAGTGGTGGATAGATACACATTAAAAATAGAAAACTTAACCAATGCAGTGGTGGATAGGTACACATTCAAAATAGGGAACTAACCAATGCAGTGGTGGATAGGTACACATTCAAAATAGAAAAACTTAACCAATCCATTGTTGGTTAGGTAAACATTCGAATAGAAAATTTAACCAATTCATTGTTGGTTAGGTACATATTCAAAATAGAAAACTTAACCAATCCATTGTTGGTTAGGTACACATTAAAAATAGAAAACTTAACCAATTCATTGTTGGTTAGGTACACATTAAAAATAGGGAACTAACCAATGCAGTGGTGGATAGGTACACATTCAAAATAGGGAACTAACCAATGCAGTGGTGGATAGGTACACATTAAAAATACAAAACTTAACCAATGCAGTGGTGGATAGGTACACATTCAAAATAGGGAACTAACCAATGCAGTGGTGGATAGGTACACATTAAAAATACAAAACTTAACCAATGCAGTGCTGGATAGGTACACATTAAAAATACAAAACTTAACCAATGCAGTGCTGGATAGGTACACATTCAAAATAGGGAACTAACCAATGCAGTGGTGGATAGGTACACATTCAAAATAGGGAACTTACCAATGCAGTGGTGGATAGATACACATTAAAAATAGGAACCCTAACAAAAAAATACTATAGTTTACTATAGTGATAAGTTTGACACTTTAATTACTATGGTGATAACTTTGAAAACTTTGATTTACTATAGTGATCACTATGACACTATAGTGATCACTTTGAAACTATGATTTACTATAGTTAACTGTAGTTAACTATAGTAAACTATTGTTAACTATAGTTAACTATGGTATTTTTTTGTTAGGGAAACTTAACCAATTCATTGTAGGTTAAGTACCCATTCAAATAGGGAACTAACTAATTCATTGTTGGTTAGGTACACAATCAAAATAGGGAACTAACCAATGCTGTGGTGGATAGGTACACATTCAAAATAGGACATTTAACCGATGCAATGGTGGATAGACCCACAATCAAAATAGGGAACTAACCAATGCAGTGGTGGTGGATAGGTACACATTCAAAATAGGAAACCAAACCAATGCAGCGGTACATTTATTTTTATTTCGATACATTCCTTTGTTACAAACTTTACAACAGAATTAAAACGTGAAGATGATTAGTGATACCCCTCTCCCTCAATTTCTCTTCCCTGTTAATATTTAGTAATATATATCAGAAAAAAATCTATCAAACGATATTAATCTGAAACTTTACTAAAATTATGAAGTTAACACATGAATTATTAGAATTTTTTAAAACTGGAAATGAATGCTACAAACAGATTTGGGGTCTATTACTTTTGGAATTGCAAGTTACAATTAACTTGCATGTACTTTGGGATTGTTCCATTACAATAATTAATTACCAACACCATTACAGCGTACTTTCATTCAGAAAAGTAATTAATTGAATAAAAATACTTTGTAATGTATAACATTAGCCAATACATTTAAATTAACTTTAAGTCAGATTATGAGTCCATCTAGATGGGAATTATGTCATTTTACGCATCATATACTCGTAATGTTATTGTTATGTAATTGAAAGTAATGGTCATTACTGGCATTTTAATACATAACATTAAAATTACTTGTAATTGAAAAATGGGTCCATTACATACATGTAGAACATCCCAGTACTTTGAAAAAATAAAATGTACAATTTAAGGTATTCAATGCAAAACGAAGGGACTTTGAACAGTTTTGAATCATTATAAACTAGTTAAAAATACATTGCAAGATAACGATGAAAGTGAAATGAACCAAATTCACATGACTGATAACAAATGAGAAGCTGATCATTTTGCACCTGAAAAGTTTCTGAAGATTTATCTGCCCTTAAAGAAAAGAAGAAAATTTCTAATTTTGTCAAAATATCTGTGGTAAATGATTCATTTTATTTCATATTTCAATAAAAAGAGAGTTTATGCATATTTTCACCAAGAGATTTGTATGAATTTTTATGTATATTTTCACCAAGAGATTTGTATGAAATTCACATTACTTTTTACAATATCTGAATAAAATATGTGCTGCCAACAGACGCCAATATAAAATTTAAGGTGCAATAAATTGGACAATAATTAAAATTTTGTAAATTCCTTTGTTGGAGCATGTTTATTTCATAACACCTTCAAAATGCTACGATGATTAATCATTTCGGTCCATTCATTTATTAGTTACAAAATATGGTCGTTATACATTGAATACCTTAATGCAATATCATTACCCATTATGGCCATTACAATTAACTTAGGGCTGGCTACCAATATTAATTCCTTGATATTAAATCTGGATTCTTATGTAAAGTATGAACAAAATGTTGAAAACATGCAATTACCAGGGGGAAAAAACACTTTCAAACTTTGTCGAATCCAGAGACGTTCATTTCTACACTAGGGGTTGGGCAGAATTCAGCTAAGGACATCGTTAACAGCGAGTTTGTCATTAGTCTCTGTGTTTTCTGTGTTCTTGATAAGAATTCATGGCCCACATCAGAGTCTACTTAGCTCCTGAACAAGGGAAAATCGTCTAAGTTTATAGATAAGATAGGCAATTTCTGATAAAATACGTGTAGAGTTAAAAGCAGCTGACTGTCAGCTAACTTTTGCATTAAAACAAATGTTTTGTCACTCATTAGTTTTATCTTGATTTTTATCATCTGAGTTACTCAGTTGACTTATTTCTATCTGCTGTCCGTTTTGCGTCGTGCTTAACATTTGAATATTTTCAGCTCCTTCTCTGAAATGCTGAGGAAACCAATCTCAACCAATATTTGCCTATAACATCTATGGGTGAAGGGGGACAAAAGTTTTGAATTTCATGATCCCTGTCCCCTTGGAGCCTGAGGAGTGGGGCCAAAACCTTAAAAATTAATACAGTCTTTAAAATTCTTCTACTTTACTCCTGGACATGAAACATTCCAAACTGTTGGCATGATTGTAATAAGCATTGAACCCTCTCCCAGAATGTTGAATTCATGGTCCCAGGGTCAAGGATTCTGGTGTTACGATGAGGATCTTGATGTCATGTAGTAAAAATGCATAAATTCCTTTAAAATCTTCTTCTCTCTTCCTTAATGATTAACAGACAAACTAAGTGCAAAGATATGATAAGCAATGGTGCCTCTTTGAGAATTGTGAAATTCATGTCCTCTGGGTCAGGGGTTTTGGTGTTAGGGTGGGGTTTATTGATTATATATAATGAAAATGCATTAATTCAGTCTGCAGTTCATCGGCGGTTGTCTTGCTCGATTTTGACCTTTTTTTTTCGTCGGCCGTCCAATTTTTTGTCTGTAGTGCCAACTTATATGTTTTTGAAATTTCCAGCCGGGTGATTAAAGTGGGCCGGGTCTTTTCAAGAAAGATATTTGTTACTGCAAAACATTTACAGTTGTACATGATTGCTGCATGTCTGTCAGATTTATCAAGCAGAACATCTGTTAAAAGAAAGCATTTTCGAGTGTGGTTGTTTTACAACATTTTATTACAAAGATAATTGTTACATATAATTAGCACTATTTCTAGAGCACTGGTTCTCATTTGAAATAGATAGATGCCTTGTTATTGCCTGTTTTTTTTAAATAATAACCCGAATTCTGAGTCAAGCTAACTCTTTGTTATGGTTCTGAAATAAGCCCCACCGATTTACCAAAATTCACCTGTGCACAATGAAAATAACTTAATCAAGTTGCCAGAACACTAGATCTGCTGGAACAAAAAAGCAATAGAAATCATTATTTAGTACCTTTGTTTCTAAGATTGAAGATAAGTGGTAGCACAAATAATCACTGAGAACAATCTCTTTGATAATTTTCGTTTTTACTTTGAATGTGTTTCCCTGTAGAGACCGCAAGTATTCCTGCTACCTTAATTTCGAAATGTTATCGAAGTATATAGGATTCACAATTTTTGTGTGTCCATGGGAAACTGTTTGGGCCTAAATAAATATTAATTATCTGTTTCCTTAATTAGAAGTCTACCTATATATGACCGGTGTCTATTTATTTTCGTACCTGCTATATCGCCTCTACACAGAATTTAGATCTTGAACGATTTGCTAGCCTAGCCGATAGGAAATAGGAGGCTGGCATATATTATGTAACATGTGAAGCTACCAAATCGAATAATAACTGCTTACGTCACATGACATAGTAACAAATTGGCGTTGTTTTCTCAATCTTTGTGAATTAAATATTTATCAAAATTGTAATACACATATATTTCTTCTTGTTTTTTATTCCCGAAATTAATACTGCAGATCACAAAATTTTTGAGACACCTTATTTTTGCGAGATTGTTGTTTGGTATTTATATTCACCAATTTGGTTATTGCTCTGCATAATCTTTAATATAATAAAATTATACACGAGAATGAAATTTTCTCAGGAAGACGGTCCTGCGTAATTACGGAAAAATAAAGTTCTCGCGAATAAAAAGTGATTAACAGGTATTATAGAGACATTAAATGTTTTCCAGTCAGTAAAGAAAACACTTTGGAATATAAAACACAGAATTTGTTCGTTCTTTATTTCTCTAGTTATCACGATGCATTTTAAAAATAATTTTTAATTTGATTTAAAAACACAACAATGGATATGTAATGGTAGTGTGAAATAGGGATTTTTTTATATGAATCTTTTGATCAAAAAACCAGGTGCTCAATTTAATTTACACTGGACATATGTGTGAGACAAGCATGTAGGATCGCGCGCTGCCAATATAGTCTGGTATTTACAGGAAATAGATCACTAAGTGTTTAAGGTCATCATTGTTAGTCTACTGATGAACAGACGGGCACAGGGACCTCGAAGAAAACAACAATTTATGCGTTAAGCAAATTTGAAAGAAAAAAAAATCATTGCTTCAAGAAATTCATTGAATATCATGATGCAAATCGAAATTTCCGTAATTCTATGCAAACGAGGATAATGGTGGACAAAATTTATTCAGTGTTATATTACAATGGTATCATTATATAAGAAATCAATCTGATTAAAATCAGATCCTTTGATCCGCTCACATAGATCGCTACACAAGGATCAGATCCTTTTGTAGCGATCAATGTGAGCGGATCAAAGGATCTGATTTTAATCAGATTGTAAGAAATCAAATCAAAAATAGACAATGTGAAAATTAGGGACGCATTTAAAATGACACACTTAGTATTATTATCAAAATCAGCCTTAAGTAAAAGAATTTTTTTAAAAAGTTTTTAAAGTATTCACCCTGGGATAGGAAATTTGAAAATCGAAATTTGAAAGATAAAAGACAATTAACTAATTAAACAGTAAACAATTAAACCGTGTCTTCTAAATGACATTATATCTTTATTTTCAGATCATCTGCCATGCTTGTGCTGATTCAGATATACTTAGAGGAAAGTTATGCAGGTCCCGCCTTGGATATCACGCCAGCACTGAAAGCTTTAGGCAACACTCGTACGCTCTGTGTTTTAATTTTGTGTTTTATCTTAAATTTCGTCCATTTTTGAATACCACCGGCCCTACTCCAGTGGTGGACATTATACATGACGGAAGGAGGATACGGTTTGAATCCATGGACTTTCGAAATGAGACGATTAAGTCTTCAGTATGTTCCTTGTTGTCACGTGATGAATGTCACCAGTGGACTTCCTGTTGTGAGTCAGCAGAGCTGTGTTGTCAGAGACAACTTTCAGAATATAAGGGAACTAACTCAACCTGTGGACGGATCTGGGATGGGTGGCTTTGCTGGGATGATGCAGCACCAGGAACTCAGAGTTATGGGTCCTGTCCACTGTTTATGCCCTATTTTACACCATCCCGTGAGTACCGAATCATTGAAAAAGAAAACTTTTCTTTCTGTTTATTATTCTAATGCAATTTTTCTATCATAAGATTTGAAAGATTTCTATAAATACTAGTTAATCCCTTTTTTTAACTGGACTTCTTTCGTTTTTGATATAGTGGTAACAGGTAAGTAAGTTAATTTAGAAATTATTACCTTTCTGTCCGTTGAAATAATAACTTTAAAGGTATATCATTTGTCTTTTTATTCAGTTATTGAAGACAAAAAAAAAATATATATATATAAATTTTGGAGATGGGCGAACGTGCAGAAAGCCTATAGCTTCAGATATATAAAAATCATGTTCAATTTATGAATTCAGTATTTAGAATAAAGTTCTAATAATTGAAATTTATGAAATTATGATAAACAAAACTTTTCTGAGGAAAAGTTTCTCGGAAAAAATTATTCTTTTATTAAAAAAACAATGTGGTATATGTGGGGTTCGAACCCTAGCAATAAAAATCCTGAGTATCATCATCTTTCGAGACTAGCACGCTAACCACTAGACTACGCAAGTCCCGATGATTAGTGGCATTTAAATCGTGTTTGTGATATGACCCTTGACTTAATGGACTTCAAGTATTTCTCGAAAAGATGCGAATGATATATCATAAAAGTATATTTTTAAGGTATAGTGGGTCTTTGCTCCATATTTTAGGAAACCAAAAAATGTATATTTTTATGCAATCTTCGAGGATTAACTTTCGAAAAAATGGAGCGAGTTACAGTATGAGAAAATGTCTCTTTTTGCCCTCTTCAGTGTGTGTACAATATTCCATAAGCAAATGATTTCAATCTTTGGGAGATTTTTGCAAATTGTAGAGATTTTACATAATGTATATTTTAATGTTAGATGAAATATCAAGGAAAATTTTGATATAATTGAGATTTAAATTTTCACCTTCATGTTTGTCACTCTATAGGCTTTTCGCTCGTCATGTTCACCCATCTTCTTGGCAATAAAACAGTGAGGCGGGGTTGGGGGTTGATGGCTTACACCTGAATGTGGCTCTTAAAAACGGTATTCACTTATACCTTTTGATGAACTTTGAAATGCTTTAAGCTTAATGAGATATATCAACGAAAACAAAAACTATAAAGAGAGAGAGCCGAACACAAAATCAGAGAGAGAGCCGAACACAAAACCAGAGAGAGAGCCGAACACAAAACCAGCGTCTTAAACGGAAACGAGTTATTTCATGTTTCTGTAATCTAATTGCTCCGAGATCCTAGAAGACGCAGAATGAATTAAAGAGAGCCCTGATAATATAGATATTTGTGTTCCTTGTAGAATGTGTTCATGTTTATTGGGTGAGTTTATATTTTGAGATTGTTTACAATTACAAGCTTTGATTTATTCTTATTCTTATTGCCCTATTCTAGGACAAGCAGTGCGCACCTGTCAGGTCAACGGACAATGGATACACCGTACAGATTACAATCCATGCCTGAAAAAAGACGTAAGTACCGGGGTTGATACATTTTTAATACCGGTGAATAATAAAAAATGCGACTTTCCCGGGAACCCCAGATTCCCTTCAAAGCACAGTGATTTGATTTACTTTTCTGATAAATAGCAAATAAAAAAATTAACATCAGCCAAACATTTGGAAATGATCATATTTTAAGTTTGTTTGTCTGTCTGTCTGTTCATTAATAATCTCTAAAGATTGTCAATATAATCATATATTTTTATGAAATCTCAAGAAAAGATGTGCTCTGCCTCAGGAAAGAATTGGTAAAAAAAGAGATTCATCTAAAATTTGACACATGGCTAATTTATGAGACCTTGATTACACTTTCTCCTTATCCGCAGTTTAATCCCAATTATTTGGTCATATTAAACCTCGGTACAATTAAACATTATTCAGATTCGTTTGGTTATGAAATTCTGCAATGATGCAAAACCCTAGTGGCGTGTACTCTTATGTTCGGGTAATATTGTTCTGAGGCGTTGGTCAATAATTTATAAGCTTACCATGACCATAACATATCGAAAACGGTTCCTTGCTTATTTCAAGAAAAAAAAAGATTTAGCAACTGGAATTAATGATTACATTTGTATCACTGCAATTCTTTACACATACAACAGTAAATGTGACCATATATTTTTCTTGAAAATTAGAGCTTACCATAAAATTATCATATAATAACTTTTGCATTTATACAACATTATGTACATAATGTTAACTATGATTGTAGAAAAGAATTTTCTAAAAACCTTTTAAAAAATCTTTGAATTTTTGTTCTGATATGTATTAACAATAACTTATTTCCTTTCAACAAGATTGAATAAAAAGCTGAAAATAATTTAAACCTATTCTCTCATCAAAATCAAATGTATTTAAAAATGATTAATGTTGCAAAAAAAATCTTGTTCAATATATAATTGTGATAAAGGTAACAAATCCCAGAGCACTTGCTGAAAGCACTGAACTTTAGTGACAAATTTTATAGATCCATTAATTTATTATCACTACACAGCTGAAATACATGTATATCTTTTTTGAAACTTTCCATAGGAACTCGAGACGACACTTTTGATTGGACTAGGATGCAGCGTAGCAAGTCTTGTGGTACTACTCCCGGCTGTTCTGGTCTTTCTGAAATTCAAGTTGGTTTTATTTTTCAAGTCCATTTTGCTTTTGCAAAACAGAGAGAATACGCTTCTGAGTGAATAATATTCTGAGTAGTTCATAGCAATTGTCATGAAGTATTTTTCATACAGTTTACAAAACCCTATACTTTTCTGCAATATTTTAAGTTTCTGACATGAAGGATAAATGTAAGTAGGTGGTATTTTGAATTACAATAGATCACTTCGGAAACAACACCGAATACGACTACATATCAACCTTTTCCTGTCATTCGTGTTTAAAGAAGTAATGGAAATCTTGTGGGACATGTTAGTGACGCACGATAAAGTCACAAGCACAACAGTGTTCGAAACCACACTGTTAAAAAATGGCGTAAGTAACTGGAATTTGCTCAAACAAAAATGATCAATGCTGGATCTTTAACTATTAACTTCAGCGGAAGTATGTACGATCAGTAACACTGTAAACTTTACTGTTTATGCCGAGGACTGAAATCTGAATTCCATAATCAAATAACTTACTCTGGGAGCATATTACTAATTAGTTACAATAGAGTGAGGATCGGATTTGATTGCCATAATTTTTACCACTGATTTAAAATTGTTTCAAATTGTTTGCAGGTGGGCTGTAAGCTCTTGTCTTTCCTGAAGATCTACTTTAAGTGTTGTACCTATACCTGGATGTTTTGTGAAGGATTCTACCTGCACCGTCTGATGTCTAATGCTTTCTCCCCTCCACGATCCCTCAGGGTCATGTATGTGTTTGGATGGGCTGTACCCCTTGTCTCTTCGACCTTGTATGGGATTTTACGGGGAATCCTAAACAACGAAAGGTCAGTTTAATGATAAATGTTCATATTCTTTCAAGGTTACCCATCGTAAAGTTTCTCTAAACCACTATACAATTCCCTTATTTCGCCAAGTAATTGTCTTTATCCATTACGGAAGCGTCTTAGTGCCACATACATGTAATATTTTTTTAGTTGGTAATTTTAAAGTTAAAGTTGGTATTTTCAACTTTAAAGTTGGCAATTCCAACTTTAATCTTGGCTTTTCCAACATTAATTTGAGTTTTTTCTAGCCCTTTTCCTTAACCTTTTCCCTTTATTTTAAATTGTTACCTACTTTATTAATGCAAGTTTTTTTTAAATTTAATACACTGAAACAAATTGGTGAGCAATTAATCTGTGGCAATTATATTTTATCTTAATCTTCCCTATAACCTTACATATAACTTCCAACTTTAAAAACCCTTATTCTTTTGGTCCACCTTATATAGTTTTACAGAGAATAATTTCATACAACTCCGTACATGACAGGATTTCAACCAAAGGTATTAAGAGATCAGGCATATATTTTGTTTTTTATGAGAGAATAAGCTTAAACAAATAAGACCATTATCAGGTGTTTGATATATAGGATGAATCAATATTATATTACATGCTACAAATAAATTCAACTGAACTAAATGTAACAATTCACTATGAAATAATTCCTTCTTTCATCATAACTTCATAATTAATCATTTCTTTCCTTTGTAATTGCATTTCTATAATTGTAATTTCTATTTCTATTTCATTTCTATTTTTATTTCTATAATTTGTCATTTCTACGGATTTTTTCCGTTTATCCAATCATGACAAGGAGCACACGGCGGGTGTGACGGTTGACAGGGGATGCTTACTCCTCTATGGCACCTGATCCCCCCTCTGATGTTTTTGGAGGTCCGTGTTTGCTCTGCTCCCGATTTGTATTGTTTAAATGGACTATGAGCTTGAATTCTGTTCGTTATCTCCATATTTCATGTATAAGACGGCAACACGAGTCCAGCTACAAAGTATCTGAATATAACGCATAAAGCCGTACTTTGATGAAAAAGCCAAGATTAAAGTTGGGAAAGCCAAGATTAAAGTTGGAATTAGCTACTTTAAAGTTGGAATTTCAAATTTTAAAGTTGGAAAAGCCATGCATCATTGAAGTAGGAATTTCCAACTTTAAAGTTGGAAAAGCCAAGATTAAAGTCGGAATTACCAAATTTAAAGTTGGAAAAGCCAAGATTAAAGGAGGAAAAGCCAAGATTAAAGTTGGAATTACCAACTAAAAAATATTAAGTGGCAACAATACGCTTCCGTAATCCATACATTTTAGACTAAAATAAATATGATAGAAATTATATAGGATAAATAGCAAAATCATTTTTCCAGGAATGTGAGAAGGTACAATGCACACGTATAGCATTTTTTCCTGTTCAAATTGATCAATATATAACACAAAAAATAGCTATCCCTGCATTAAAAAGAATCATGTTTTTGTACGTTTGGATGTTGAGTTTCTTGAAAAAATCTAAATTTTTATACAGCTAAGTGGTGCAAAAAGCATATGGTATCTTTCTGATGTATGGCGTATCACATCTCGCTTACAGATAAATGTAATACTAATAAACATTGATGTGTAAGGTACATTTAAAGAAGATCTGATTTCTCTCAAAATGTCAATCGTTTTTCCTTTTCTGAGGAACAAGTATCAAAATTATAGCAGGTTGAAACATATCACAAATTATATTTAGAAATATTGAATAAAAATCGTTGCTCAAAAGAATTTTGCAAGTACAATATAAATGGCTAATTTAAATGATCTTTCCTTGTTTACTGTAAGGGATGATTTAACACTACCTCTGCTGTAGATAAACATAAGTAACATTCATTCTTTTGTAGTTGCTGGGCGTTTGCCTATGGTAATCTAGAATGGATATTTGATACGCCGAATATATTATTTCTGTTTGTAAGTATAAAAAGTTATTCTAAGCGTCATAGACACCAACAGAACCTTATTAAAGACGTAATAAACACTGGATAAGATATAATGATAATATTTCATGACCAAGTCGTAAGAATTGCCAGCTTCTATATATTTATGCCGCCATTGAGTAAATGCCGTGCCTTTTGGCAGCAAGCGTGGATGATGTCATTATTTTGTAGACTATTGCCGTTCAAGTAGCTCGTATTGCATTCATTTCAACGAAGTATAAACAAGCATTCTAAGTATTGCATTATCAATACTAGTCCCCTACCGGCAAGTGTAATCTGGTTCCCGTTAAGAATTGAAAATGCCATAATTCCGTCAAAAATCAATGAAGCAGGACGAAATGCAAACTTGATCTAAAAGTAATCAAGGTAAAGTCACATATCAAAAATCAGCTCAATATCTGAAAGTGTTTAGAAGAAAATTGCGGAAAACCCTGAAAAATTGAAAAGGCCGTAATTCCGTCAAAAATCAATGAAGCGCAACGAAATGCAAACTTGATCTGTAACTCATCAAGATGCACTCACATACCAAAAATTAGCTCAATATCTGCAAGCGTTTAGGAAAAAAGTGCGGAAAACCAAGTGGGACAGACTGACAGACAGACAGAAGGACAGAAAGACAGACGGACAGACGGACGGACAGACTCAGAGGAAACCTATAGTCCCCTCCGGTTTCACCGATAGGGGACTAATAAATTGTTAAATAACCCCGATAGTGGCTCAAGAACTAGAGGCAGGCTACAAGGGGGAAGTCTTTTGCTATCTATCATTTGCACTGACAGGATGTATATTGTGTTACATATGAAAGCATTAGTTTAGCAAAACTTCAGCACATACACCTGTACCTGTAGTATATAGTTTTGTTTGTTTTATATGATTCGACCATTTTTCTTCAATTTTAACGCCAACTTTTCTCAATCCCATTTCAACAAATATTAATAGACGTGATATGTTGCTAATGTTTTTGATTTAATATACTGGTAGTATTTTTTTTATAAAAGAGGAAATTCATTGAACACAGGCTCTTTTGCTCTTTCTATCGTCTCTTTCACGAATTAATTTTCCAGAGCTGACAATGAGTATTTCCTTGTCCCTCCACATTGTCCTACCTGAAAATGCGTTTTTCTCAGTCCCTCCACATTGTCCTAGCTGACAATGAGTATTTCCTTGTCCCTCCACATTGTCCTAGCTGATAATGAGTATTTCCTTGTCTCTCCACCTTGTCCCTCCACATTGTCCTAGCTGATAATGAGTATTTCCTTGTCTCTCCACATTGTCCTAGCTGACAATGAGTATTTCCTTGTCTCTCCACATTGTCCTAGCTGAAAATTGTATGAGTATTACCTTGTCTCTCCACATTGTCCTAGCTGACAATGAGTATTTCCTTGTCTCTCCACATTGTCCTAGCTGATAGTGAGTATTGTCTCTCCACATTGTCCTAGCTGACAATGAGTATTTCCTTGTCTCTCCACATTGTCCTAGCTGACAATTGCATGAGTATTTCCTTGTCCCTGCACATTGTCCTAGCTGACAATGAGTATTTCCTTGTCTCTCCACATTGTCCTAGCTGACAATGAGTATTTCCTTGTCTCTCCACATTGTCCTAGCTGACAATTGCATGAGTATTTCCTTGTCCCTGCACGTTGTCCTAGCTGACAATGAGTATTTCCTCGTCCCGACATATTGTTCTAGCTTAGATTTAGATGGAAAAAATCGGACTTCATTTCTTTTGAGGTTTATTCAAATTTTTACATAATAGTCTTGCTTCAAGAAAAATGAATAGTAAAATTTGACTACACTATTTGAATACTATAAAATTGATACTTTTCCAAGATAATTTTCCCCAGTTTTGTGAATTCCTTGAATATGTTTTTAGAAATAAATGTAGATTGGACAAGAGACTTTCCAAATCTACTTCTGTTTCCTAGAGCTTGTCAAGGAAAATATTTAGTTATTATTTATGTTTCGCTGGAAGTTGCACATTTTAGTTGTATGTATGTAAACAATTTGAAAATTTTCTTTGTTTCAGTTAAACCTCGTCTTCTTATCCAACATTTTAAGGATTCTTCTGACTCAGATACAAACTCACCCAAACGAACCGGGCAACTTCAGGTAAATACATAATATACCCCCCTTTATTGATAAGAATTAAAAGATGTCTGTGACAAACTTACATAAAATCTGCATTAATCACCTTGTATAAATATTCCGCGTTGCTTTCGTTTGTCACCGTAATGTTAAAGCTGTCAGAAATCTGATGAATCTTTGAGTGATACCTGTTTAATTTTTTTGGCATCAGATGCAGACTACTTTTGGTCGGTTGCTTTGATACGAAGTCATACTGAAGAAACGTATTGAAGTTAGCAAAAAGTATATGTATATTTTAACTAAAATTAAGGACGTGAAAAGAAAAAAAATAGACCATCTCTAGTGGTGGTTTAAAAGAACAACTTTAATTTCCTCGACACACATTTTCCGTACTTTCAGTTATATAAAAACTATAAGACAAAGGAAATCAAGCTCAGAGAATAGATAAAGACTTCTATCTGGATTTATTTGACATAACAGGTAGACGAACAATAATTTAATTTAAATTAGTTTGCAGAGTTTATCTTTGATTACGATTTGCTTTACCCTTGTTTAAGTGTAATGACAAAAAGAAAGGCTGAAAGATATACTGTGTTCAGGTACGTAAACCAAATATACATGGTAAGCACCATGCTAATAGTCCCTGTAAATACAATTAATGTTTAATCATGAGTTTTCTCTTTTTTACAGGCGAGCAGTTAAAGCTACTTTTATTCTGATACCATTGTTTGGGATACATCTCTTTGTTACAATTTATCGAATCCCCATCAGTAATGAGGGAGGTCTGGAGTACGAGAGGGTCTCCGTCATAATCAGTCACACCCAGGTCAGACACGTACAAAAATACTTCATTTCTGTTTCATTATGCTTGCTAATTGATTTATGAATATATCTTTTATCTATATCCACAGGTTTACATTGTGATGACTTAATTTTCTATCGTTAGCTTTCCTTATTCATATAGCAATATACCATCATCACATGGTGTTTATGTCTCCCACTTGATTCGAAACACAAGAGCATGTTCTACGTACGAACAATTTCTAAACCAAGACAGGCTACTGACAAATACGTTGATGAACAAGAGTATCAATAGTCTATTATAGTCAGCAATTTTCATACTAAATTGTCCACAGGTATCTCCGTTTATCCAACCATGGAAAGGAACTCTCGGCGGATATGACTGGACAATAAGGGATACTTATTGATCCCAACTCTAATGTTTTCAGGGATCTCTGTTGTTCTTAATTTGTACTGTTTAATTGGACATTTGACCATCATTACTGTTCATTTTCACAACTAGCTCGGAATCATAGAGATTGAATTTTGTGAACTTTGAAATGTCGATCTCACTGAAAATGATACAGAGACTAAGTGTGTCAGGCTGTAATTACATATATTATACTTTCATGTAAATAAGTTGAATCTGATTCGTTGAGAAACATTTGTTAAAAAACAACATTACCCGCTGAATGATGAAGCCACGCCCTCCAGCGTAGAAACGGTCAACATTGTTTGACGACAGGTGATATTCCAAAATATAGTGACTGCGCAGAATTTATGCGCGCACGGTTCACTGTTATATGTATTTGTATAAAACATTTAGTATAATATAATAAATAGTGCATGTAGTTGAGTGTAACATTGAAAATTTTCACCCCTCAAAAACCATTGTTAACCTCGGCTGCGCCTCGGTTGACAATGGTTTTCTTGTGGTGAATTTTTTAAATGTTACACTCAACTACATGCATTATTTATATATAACAACTTGTGATTTGGCAGATTGGTTTAAAATTTTCTTTCTGGAGTTATATTTTAAAATCATTTAAGCAATAAAGAATCTTCCGACAAGAAGTCTAAAAAGCCAAAGAAAGAACCAAAGTTCTTATTACCATCTTTTGTCAGAATATATATATATATATATATATATATATATATATATATATATATATATATATATATATATAGAAAGCACAAAGAAATTCACTTTTATAAGGATACCCACTTCCGCCCAAGCCCGGGTTTGATATATATATATATATATATATATATATATATATATATATATATATATATATATATATATATATATATATATGTGTGTGTGTGTGTGTGTGTGTGTGTGTGTGTGTGTGTGTGTGTGAGAGAGGGTGTGTTTGTAAACCCTGTCAATTGGACACGTGCTTTAGACTGCACACGTTTAAATGAACACGGAAAAATCCAAATGAACACGAAATGGTGGTGTTCAGTTGGATTTTGTCATAAATCAACTAGAAACTGTCCTAGGATGCATCCGATTTCGAAAAATTGAAGTGTTAATTTGACCGGATTCATGAGATCTGTGTAATGAGTGTGTATACGATGACCACCGATCCATCATTTTTTCTTCTCGGCGAGACTTACACACATTGCAAGTGCGCATGCTCGTTACACAAATGACGTCGTAAATGACATCATAATAAAGTACCCGTTTCACACTTAGTCATGTACATGGGGACGAAGTCAACTTTGTAAAAGGTAAGTACAAAATCTGTAAATAAATTAAATAAATTTAATGTATTAAATATGGCCTATGAATTAATAGTAAAGATGTGTCCATTATGACATTAATTGTCTACTCTAGAATTTCCCTACGGTATGTATACATGCACGTATATGCTGTATAGTTACAATTTGCATCGTTGCATAATTGCAGTATAAATGGTAAAAACCAATTTACTAAAAGTTATTATTATTAATGTTAGTAAAAACATAAAGAAATCTTTTCTATATCTGGATGTCAGGTAAACACGTACATTCCGTATTGACCTATGTACGTTGTACCCGCGGAGAGAAATTATTTCTGTATCTGTATCTAATAGCATATTTCAAATCAACGTTGATCTTTTGCATTGTGTACCACAATATACTGTCAGAAATTTTAAATGTTTTCTTGTGTTTCGCATCTTGTTTATGTGTCATGCAAAGTTCGAAGGTTTCATATTAAAAACGAAAGTAGAGTCGGTCACGCCATGTGTTATGGGCCGATTTCAAATCAACGTTGATCTTTTGCATTGTGTAGCACAATATACTGTCAGAAATTTTAAATGTTTTCTTGTGTTTCGCATCTTGTTTATGTGTCATGCAAAGTTCGAAGGTTTCATATTAAAAACGAAAGTAGAGTCGGTCACGCCATGTGTTATGGGCCGGGGAAACGTTCAGTCTGCCTGGCTTATATATAGGTACGTGGGCTGTTAAAATCATTGTTAATATTGTGTACATATTAAGCTGTCAACTAAAAACACATGTACGACTGAGGCGTAAACATTAGAAATAATTCCTGCAAGTTTAAATGATGAAAGGGGGGGGGGGGCTGTCTACTTCTCCCAGGGACATAATGATATAATTGTTAAGCATGTAGAGGTCCCTGCTTCAACGTGGTCTTCTAGCCCTTGCAAACTGAGGGTATAGTGCAGCTTTATAAGTTGATATTAATGTCAAAGACATGCTGTGCATTTAGACAGTGACATGTCACATGCCCTAATTTTAATGTGTGAGAATTTAAAGATTGATACTTGTCATTTTTATTGACATGCACTCATTATTGCATTGGGGCAATTTTGAGAGAATATGTAAATATAGCTGTGATGATTCATGAATATGATGCGACTTCTACTAATTTAAGTTACAGTAATTAATTTTTTTTTCCTATTTATCATGGAATTCATGCATGTTTTAAAACTTACATGTATATTATAATACATTTCAGGTAGAAACATTGATTTTGGATGAGAAATTATTAATGTTCATGGCTACTCAGAACACGGCAGGGAGAAGTTTATGGTATGAATGCAATTATATAATATTCATTTAATAGTGAAAAGCTACGTCAGGAAAAAAACAAACACTACCTGAAGTTCTAATGATCTGTGTTCATGATGATGTGTTTGTGTATCAGCATGATCTGTATACCTTTTCCTGTCATGAACATGATGAATCAGTACTGTTTTACATGTAATACCTTAATGACAGTCTTTCGGTCCAAGACCGGCAAATATTTGGGAGGATCAATGAATTCAAAATTAAGTCTGTATGTTATCAGTTAATTGTGCCAGTATCATAAAAAAAAATTAAAGGTTCAGTTTAAAAGACAAAGAACTTCACCAATAATAGTCCAGATAAAAAGTAAAATAAAATTATCTAAATAGGATTAAAAAAAAAAAAAGATGTTTGCAACTGACTGTCATACCAATAATTTTCATCATTTAGCTATTTTCCATTTTTATAAACATGTACAGGACAGATAATTAACACTATAACACCATTGGCTATTGTTGTGGTCGGGGCATACCATGTAATATATTAAACAAAATAATACGAACTACTATAAATTCTCTTTTATGATGTGCACACTTTTATTTTCAGCAAAACAAAAAAAAAAGACAAAGAAGGAGGGGTACACACTATACAATCATGTTTTTATTGGGGTATAATTCAACCACTGAAATTTAAAATGAAGAGATTTACTTCCATTCAGGGATTTTTAAAAAGATTTTCCAACTGCAGAGAATACAATTATGTTATATGGAATTATGATTGAACATTTACAATATTTATAAATCCTTCAAAATGTTTCTGTCATCAAGGGTGTCATAGAGACATAAATAATAGAGATTTATGTAGCATGTGTAGCTGTTTGAAATCTTGCAAATTTTCTAACTCCCTCCCGTGATTCTAACATGAGGCACTGGAAAATGTAGGGAAAAGTCATTTTTGTTTTTTGGAATATGGTATTAATCGTGCATAAATTACTGAAGCTAACATTGGCAGTATGTAAAACTGGATCTATTCATTCTTTATGAAAACTCGATCACTGGTCTGAGGCCACATTCCTATAGGATTAATTAGGGGCAATTAAAATAAAAAAAATCAAAAACTTCAACAGGTTTTATGATTCTTCCCCTCAAAGTAATAAAAAATGTAATCACACTAGATGACTTTGCTCACTTATCTACATTATCAATAGAAAGGCCAGAGTAGCTACATTTTATATACATGTATATATATCGGTATACAATATATACTTTAAAAGCAGATTGAATTATATTCCTTTATTTCGACAGTTGTTTGTCGTTAACATTATCATCAGAATTAAATCCCCACATGAAATTTTACTTTACAATACATGTATAATGAGTCGGGTTACATTCGTAACAAAGAAATTTAATGCCCACAAAACCTTCTTGGATTCAAATCAACAAAATTTTATCCCCACGAAAATTTGTGCTTCGATCTACAGTATATAACCAACACTTTAATGTGAGTAAAACGTACAGCAGATGCATTTAGTATTTTTAAGTGCAGTGACTGGAAAGGCACAGTAATTCCAGACCAAACTCAAGTTTACTTATTATTTAGTATTTAGGAACAAGTTATTTGTAAGTGTATCAAAAATAATAAGACAAGACATTTAAATATACAACAAAAAATATAAAGGGCCTCATAGTCTTTCAGAGGGACTCTATTAATTAATGTTTGATATCGATTGGCAGACTCTGTAAACCTGAGTGAACAATTATGTTAAGAGAAGTTTGTTAATAAAGAGAATCTAGATCTGTTACCACTTAACCAGATTATTAAAATTTAATTTAAAAGGTAAACATGTTGTTGATAGTGAAGAAGTCTGTGTGCCAAGAATATAATATGTTATTTCAAATGAGCAAGAAATGTCATCATCTGACAGTGTGTATTACTTAGATTGCATAAATTAAGTTTTCTTTATATATTTTGTGATGGAATTAGAAGAAATCTGAAAGATTGTAACCCCCCCCCCCCAATTTTTTACCC